GGTGCAGTCACACTGGGGTTCAGACCCACTGGGGTTCAGTCACACTGAGGTGCAGTTGCACTGGGGTTCAGTCACACTGAGGTGCAGTTGCACTGGGGTTTAGTCGTACTGCGGTGCAGTCGCACTAGGATGCAGTCAGACGGATGATAAAGTGTTAGTGGGGATACAGTCCCTTTGGAGATACAGTCAGACTGGGATACACTATAACCTAATCAAGGTCCGATACCAATTTAAGACAATTTTGCTACTTTTGAATTCTACAGCTTATGTAATAAGTCCCCGTGTTTTCTAATTGTGTTACTAATCTGCAATGCTTTGTTAATTTGGGAACCCATTTCTGTCAAACTCTTTGTTCCCGGTTCATTCTTATTTACTGAGGCTTGAGTGGGCATTATTTTCCTGCTAAAATGGGCCACTTCATGCGTCTGTGTTCGTGTTTAATTGCCATTTACCTGTGCCATGTTCAAGTTTTTGAATATCTTCCTGTGTTTTATTGCATTCCTCCTCAGCATTAGTTTTATTCTGTGGTTTGAAATTAGCTATAGATTTAAATATGGAGTTACTTGTTCCTAAATCCAAATCATTAATGTACGTATGTATCCTTGTTAATTCACTCCACATTGAGGAACTTTGCTTTATACTTAGTCTCTGCTTCAGCCAAATTCCCACCAAATCACACATTTGTGTCCTTGCTCTGCATGTACCAAACTTCCTTGTGAGTCCAATCTATGGCAGATTGTCAAAGGTGCTTCAAAAAATCTAAATGTATGGCATCTGCCAGGTTTCCCTTGTCTACTCCCTTGGTGGAACAGCCCCACATTAAACATCGCAGCTTGTAGCTGAGTTTTGTTGGGGTTTTATAAACTGGGTGAGCAGTCAACATAGTTTCTGTTCATCGATGATATTTTCGGGAGTTATTAATTGTGATTAGACTGACTCCTGTTCCTGTCATTTCAGATTACTCAGCTGAAGATTGATAATAATCCCTTTGCAAAGGGGTTCCGCGTCAATGGGATGAACAGTAAAAGGTACGTCAGGAAGTGTGTGATAGATAAACACTCCCACTTATGTCCTGCTCCTGGTCCTGCTCCAAATCCCAATTCCATTCCTGATCTGGCTCCCACACTGCTCCTGGTCCTATTCCTGGTTCTGATCCAGACCCTGCTCCTTATCCTGATCCTGTACCCACTCCAGTTTCCCTTTTCCTGATCCTGGTCCTGTACCCACTCCTGATCCTCATCCTGCTCCTGATCCTGATCCCGTACCCACTCCTGATCCTGATTCTGTACCGCTCCTGATCCTGATCCTGCTCCTGATCCTGTACCCACTCCTGTTTCCTGTTCCACCCCAGAGGGAACAATGTGGAAAGCGAATGCTTTTCCAGTTGAATAGTCAAACTGAAGGAGTTTCATTTTGACAGGAATTGTCAAATCCGGGTCAAAATCCTGGAATTTTCTCCTTCAGAGCATTGTGGGTCAACCCACAGCAGGAGGACTGCAGCGGTTCAAGGCAGCTCACCACCACCTTCTCAAGGGCAAGTAGGGATGAGCCATAAATGCTGTCCCAGCCTGTGTTGCTCGTGTCCCACAAGTGAATAAAAAAAAGGAGCATCCTTCACCCAGAGCTCCCGTCCTAAGTGTGGATCTTCCTGTGCTTTCAGGGTACGAGAGGCGAGGACCCTGCAGAGTCGCAGATGTCCGGCTGTAGTGGAGGAGAGGAGCTGTGACTGTAGTACAGGTAAAACTGTCACTACAATGTGAGAGCAGCAGCCAAGTGTGGGGTCGGGATTGGTGGGTGTGGGGCTACAGGGAGAAAGCTGAGTGAAGTGATTCAGGACCATATCAGAATCACACCGTCCCTGAGATGATCAACATGGGGAGGCAATGGCCTGGTGGTATTATCGCTGGACTGTTAATCCAGAGACCCAGATAATGTTCTGGGGACCTGGGTTCAAATCCTACCAGGGCAGATGGCGGAATTTGAATTCAATAAATATCTGGAATTAAGAGTCTAATGATGACCGTGAATCCATTGTCAATTGTCAGGAAAAATCCATCTGGTTCATTAATGTCCTTTAGGGAAGGAAACTGCCATCCTCACCTTGTCTGGCCTACATGTGACTCCAGACCCACAGCAATGTGGTTGACTCTTAACTGCCCTCTGGGTAATTAGGGATGGGCAATAAATGCTGCCCTCGCCAGCAACGCCCTCATCCTGGTAATGAATAAAGAAAACATGTATTTGTGAATCCTTCTCACAACAACATCCCAGGGGCATAGTACCATCATGGTAAATATAGTAAATATAGGTAAAAACGGGCCGGTGGGCAAGAATTTGGCAGATACAATATAATGTGGGAAAATGTGAGACTGGGACGGTGGCTGATGTGGTGCCATTATTTAAGAAAGGTGGTAGGGAAAAGCCAGGGAACTATAGACCAGTGAGCCTGACATCAGTAATGGGTTAGCTGTTGGATGGGATCCTGAGGGACAGGATTTACATGTATTTGGAAAGGCTAAGACTGATTAGGGATGGTCAACATGGCTTTGTGCGTGGGAAATAGTGTCTTGCTAATTTGATTGAGTTTGTTGAAGAAATGACAAAGACAATTGATGGTGGCAAATTGGTGGATGTTGTCTACATGAACCTCAGCAAGGTGTTTGACAAGGTTCTGTATGGTAGCCTGGTTAGTAATTTTAGATCACACGGAATACAGGGAGAGCTAGCTAATTGGATACAAAATTGGCTTGAAGGTAGGAGACAGAGGGTGGTGGTGGACGGTTGTTTTTCAGACTGGAGGCCTGTAACCAGCGGTGTGCCACAGGGATCGGTGCTGGGTCCGCTGCTTTTGTCATTTATATAAATGATTTGGATGTGAACATAGGAGGAATGGTTAGTAAGTTTACAAATGACACCAAAATTGGAGGTGTAGTGGACAGCGAAGAAGGCTACCTCAGAATACAACAGGATTTTGATCAGATGGGCCAATGGGCCGATGAGTGGCAGATAGAGTTTAATTTAGATAAATGCGATTTGCCGCATTTTGGAAAGGCAAATGGGGGCAGGACTTATACACTTAATGGGAAGGTTCTGGGGAGAGTTGCTGAACAAAGAGACCTTGGATTGCAGGTTCATAGTCCCATTAAAGTGGAGGCACAGGCAGATAGGACAGTGAAGAAGGTGTTTGGTACACTTGCCTTTATTGGTCAGTGCATTGAGTACAGGAGCTGGGAGGTCATGTTGCAGCTGTACAGGACATTGGTTAGGCCACTTTTGGAATACTGCGTTCAATTCTGGTCTCCCTGCTATAGGAAGGATGTTGTGAAATGTGAAAGGGTTCAGGAAAGATTTCATAGAATCCATACAGCGTGGAAACAGATCCTTCGGCCCAACAAGCCCATCCCACCCAGACCCATTCCCCAAACCCACCTAAGCTACACATCCCTGAACACTACAGGCAATTTAGCATGGCCAATCCACCTAGCCTGCACATTTTTGGACTGTGGGAGGAAACTGGAGCACCCGGAGGAAACCCACACAGACATGGGGAGAATGTGCAAACTCCACACAGGCAGTTGCCTGAGGGTGGAATCGAACCCAGGTTCCTGGTGCCGTGAGGCAGCAGTGCTAACAACTGAGCCACCATGCCACCCCAGGGATGTTATAAGGATGTTACCAGGGATGGAGGATTTGAGCTATAGGGAGAGGCTGAACAGGCTGGGGCTATTTTCCCTGCAGCATCGGAGGCTGAGGGGTGACCTTATGGAGGTTTATAAAATCATGGATAGGGTGAATACCCAAGGTCTTTTCCCCAGGGTAGGGGAGTCTAAAATTAGAGGGGCATAGGTTTAAGGAGAGAGGGGAAAGATTTAAAAAGGACCTGAGGGGTAACCTTTTCATGCAGAGGGTGGTGCATGTGTGGAATGAGCTACCGGAGGAAGTGATGAAGGTGGGTACAATTACAACATTTAAAACTCATGTAGGTGGGTACATGAATAAGAAGGGTTTAGACAGTGTGACAATGCAGTGGCTTTAAGAGGTTATATTATCCTTTACTTTAAAGAGAGGTTTTAAGACAGAGGTGCACAGCTGTCTAGTTGGAATGCCATTAACATAAGCAGTTTATGAGGCCTTGGGTTTTTTTTTAGCGTTGGAACAATAGAAGCAGCATTGATGGGTGTGACCAGCTCTCAGAGACCAGGATTTCTAGTTTTTAGTCTTTTTGCTCCGAGATTCAGCATCAGTTGCTATTGGAGTCTCAACATGGTTGGAAGCTGCAGTAAATGTCTCTGGCTGCTACTCTCTCTGAAATTTAGCTTGATGTTTCTTTTTTCCTCCTGGATTGGAGAACTGCATGTGAGATTCTGTTTTCCTGAATTTGCCTTTTTGTCAAGGAGTGTGCTTAAAGGAGGTTACTATATTGGAACAGTTAATTAATAATTGTTGCTGTATCTATTATTCTGTTGGGTTTCCAACAGCTAAGTTATTCTAAATTCTTCTTTCTTTGTTTGTATTTTAAATGTAATGTTTAAATGAATTGTGTTTCGCTTAATATCGAGTTGTTTGACCAGTCACATTGCATCTGGGACACAGCACTTCATATACTTAAAAGTAAGAAAAAGTTAGGGTCTAGGCTACCTCCTTAAAATATTTTGAAGGGGACTGATCCATAACAAACTGGGGGCTCTTGTTGGGATCAAAATCTCTCATTCTGTGCTGGGTTTAGGATTATTGGGCTCAAAGGCAGTGAGTGGCAGGTACTAGTGTCCTTTGTTTCAGGTGTTGAATTCGCTTAGTTTTAACAGGGCATGCCTCGCATGGAAATGGCTCTTTCAGTCACAAAGAAGTTCCTGGGGGTGGAAGAAGTCACTCTGGGAGTTTGACAGAAAACGAGCAAGGCGAAGCGTTGGAATTGGCAGATTGGCTGGAGTTGGGGTTGCCTTTGTCTGTGGGAAAATGGGGAGGCAATTACAACAACAGCTCGGCATTTACAATTGTGGGAAATACCATCGGAATCTTTGGAAATGGCTAGGATTCAACAGCAGATGAAACGTCTTGAATTAGAGGCACTAGAAAAGGAAAGAACAGCCCTGGCAGAAGAAAAGCAGAAAGAGAGAGAGAGTTTGAACCTCAGAAGTAGGCAATTAGAGAGGAAAATTGACTTAAAAGGGCGGAGATGAAGGGAGAAGGTAGGGTCAGTGAGGAGGAGCAAGCCCCTCATAGCCAAAGACCTGATGGGAATCTGTTTAAATATGTCCAAGTGTTCCCTAGATTCAACGGGAAGGATGTAGGAACCTTTTTCATTTCATTTGAGAAAGTGGCTAAACAAATGAAATGGCTGGTGATCATGTGGGTATTGTTGATCCAAACAAAGTTAGTAGGTAGAGCTAGTGAGGTATTTGGATCACTACCAGATGAGGTATCTGGGGAGTATGAGGAGGTGAAGAAAACCATCTCAAGTGCATATAAGCTAGTGTCAGAAGTCTATAGAAAATGTTTCAGGAATCTAAGCAGGGACCCTTATCAAACATACACTGAGTTTGAAAGGATCAAACAAAGTAACTTTGACAGGTGGATAAGGGTATTTAAAATAGATCAAACATATGACGCTCTTAGGGAGAATATTATTTTGGACGAGTTCAAAGATTCACTACCTTAAACAGTGAGAACTCATGTGGAGGATCAGAGAGTTAAAACTGTCAAATTACCAATAGAAATGGCCGATGATTATGAGGTGGTCATAAATCAAAGTTTAGCTTCCGACATCAATTTCAATCAGTGAGGGATAGAAATAGGGGGAAAGAGAAATCCTCAGGAGATAAGGGAAAAGGGGATCTGATTGAACATAGTAAAGATAGTTTACCACAGGGTAAAAATGAAACCCATGACGGGGAAAGAGAAGTAAAAGAATCTCAGATGTTTTCATTGCATTAAAGTCGTCCACATGAAGTCGCAATGTTGATGGTTTAGGAAAAAACACTGGGAAGACGGATGTGGAAATACAAGATGAGCCAGTGAATTGTATTAAAGTGGAAGAGGAAAGCACAGAGGAGGGTAAAAAGCTGCAACAGAAGATATAACCTGGTCAGGGGTTTTTTTGAGAAGAAAGTGTCAGATCTCCTTAAACAATTTACTTGCAAGGGTAAGGCTTACTCATATATGCCATGATAAAGAAATTGCAACTTTCAGAGATATGGGAGCATGTCAACCTTTGATGGTGGAAGATGAGGAGATATGTAATTCAGAAGGAGTATTGTCAGAACAAGTGGTAATATATGGAATTCATGGTGAAATGAGAAATGCTCCATTATATAAAGAGAGGTTGGAGTGTTCGGTGAAAAATGGAGGAGTGGTGGTAGAAGTAAGTGGAGGAACTTTCCGCTCCAGGAATATAACATGTCATTGGTAATGATATAGCTGGATGACAGGTGGGAGTGATGCCCACTGTGGTTGAAGAGCCAGTGGAAAATCAGGCAACTGAGATATTACAGGAAGTATATCCTGGGATTTTTCCTGACTGTGTGGTAATAAGATCACAAAGCCACAGGATGAAGCAGGAGGAGGAATCAAAGAATAAAGATAAGAAAGTTGAAGTAAAATTTTCCGAGACCATGTTTGATCAAATTGTTCAGAAAAAACAAGAACAGGTGGAAGGCAAAGTGACTATTTGTACTTCAGAGAAATTAACTGAATTACAACAGAAAGATGAATAAAAAAAGCAATTGTATCAAAAAGCTTATACAGTAGAAGAATCTGAGTGTATCCCAGAATGTTACTATCTTATAAATGACATCTTGGTGAGGAAATGAAGACCATCACATATTCAGGCAGATGAAAAATGGGCAGAAGTTCATCAAGTTGTATCTCCAGTGGGTTATAGAAAGGAAGTGTTGGGGGAGCACATGAATTACCAGTAGGAGGTCATTTAGGAGTAAGGAAAACTCAAGTCAAACTGCAAAAACATATTTATTGGCCTGTACAGCATAAGGATGTGGCTGAATTTTGCTGGACATGCCATACCTTTCAGGTAATTGGAAAACCTCAGGCAGTGATAATACCAGCACCTATGGTCAGTATTTGTTGACCATAATGGATGTGTCTACAATATTTCCAGAGGCTATTCCAGTAGATAGTATCATGGCTAAAGGGATTGTAGAAGAGTTACTCAATTTGTTTTTACTAGATACAAATTACCCACAGAGATACAATCGGATCAAGGTTGAATTTTTACATCAAATTATTCAAGAAATTATGGATAGTTTAGGAATAAAACAATTTAAATCCACTAGGTACAATGCAGAATCACAGGGAACACTAGAACGGTGGCATTAAACTTTAAAGACCACATTGAGGGCTTAATAGTCAAGACTATCCAGAGGATTGGGATAAAGGAAATTCCATTTGTACTTCTTGCAATTAGGGATGCACCAAATGAATCTACCAAATTCAGTCCATTTAAATTTGTTTTTGGACATGAGGTGAGAGAATCACTGAAATTAATGAAGGAGAAAATTGGCGAGTCAGAGTTCAGAGCCCAAATATTTGGATTATGTGTCACATTTTACGGAAATATTAAAAAGAGCAGGTGAGTTGGCTAGACAGCATTTAAAAGTAGCACAGCAGAAAGCAGACAAGAAATCAAAAATTCACAATTTTGCTAGTAGAGATAGAGTGTTGGCATTACTTCCAGAGGTAAGTGAACCTTTAAAGGCAGGGTTTAGTGGACCTTATCAAATCAAAAGGAAATTGAGTAAGGTGAATTATTTAATAAGAATGCCAGATAAAAAGAAATCTCACAGACTGTGTCATGTGAATATGCTTAAAAGGTATTTTGATAAGGAAGGAAAGCAAAAGGAGAATGTGTTACTGGTTACAACACGGAGCGAAGAACCAAGTTTAAATGATTCTGAATTGGACATTCCTCAGATTAAATTGGACAATGAGGGAGTTCTCAAAAATTAGTAAAGAGTTACCTTCCAGAGGAAAATCGAATGACCTGAAAGAGTTATTACTATCGCATGGGAAATATGTGGGAATAAGCTAGGAAGTACTAATCTAATGATACATGATGCAGATATAGGAAATGCTGTTCCAATTAAGCAACATCCTTATAGACTTAACCCTCTAAAGTTGGCACAGGTTCAAAATGAGATTGAACGCATGCTCAAAGACAACAGAATCGAAGTGAGTTGCAGTGACTGGAGCTCACCCATAGTAATGGTGCCAAAACTAGATGGTACTCAATGATTATGTGTGGACAAACACAAAGTCAATGCAGTTACAAAGTCTTCTTCACATCCTATTCCACATTGGAAGACTGCATTGAGAAAGTGGGATGGGCAACTTATATTTCTAAGTTGAACATACTCAGAGGATACTGGCAGGTACCTTTATCCAAAAGAGTGAAGACAATTTCAGCTTGTTTGACACCAATGGACTGTACCAATTTAAAATGACACCATTTGGTATGAAAAATTCCCCAGCCACATTTCAAAGACGAACCAACAAAGTCATTTCTGGATTTATAGTGTACATCAACTTCTGGTGATTTTTAGTTGCACATGGAAGGAACATTTTCGCCAGCTATCAGAATTGTTTAATCGACTTTGGGAGTTAGGCTTGGTGATAAACCTGGCTAAGAGTCTGTTCACAAAAAGCCAAATCACATTCCTGGGCCATGCCATTGGACATGGACAGATGGCCCCATGGGATGTGAAAACAAAGGTTATTGGGGAAATTCTGAAGAGGGCAGTACTATGACTCCTGGGATGGAATGGGTTTTATCGAAAGTTTGTCCTGCATTTAAACAGTGTGGTTGCTCCACTGACTGGTTTACTGAAGAAGTGCAGAAAGTTTCAGTGGATGGAGGAATGTCAGAAGGTGTTTGACAGCTTGAAAGCTGTGTTAACCACTGCCCCAGTGTTAGACACACTTAATTACACAGCCATTCAAGGTGGCTATTGATGTGAGTGATGTGGACGTTGGATACTGTACTCTTCGAAGAGCAAATTCAATATTCATCAACAGAAATATTCCAGTTTGAGAAGGAGACCATGAGCTTGGTGTTGGCATTACAAAATTTCAACATTTACATTGCCAGTAAAGTGTCTGAGACAATTGTATATACTGATCATAACCCATTACAGTTTTTGGAGAAATTTAAGGACAATACTTCCAGGCTGTTTAGATGGAGCTTGCTATTACAGCCATTCAATTTGAAAACTATACACATGGCAGGACAAGAAAACATAATTGCTGATGTGTCGTCATGACTTGGATGAAGACGGATGGTGGTGGGAATAAATGGGCTGAAATAGACTGTAGCGGTGAATGTTTGCATGCTTCGTGTCAATGTAATGTACATGTATTGTAGTAGACTAACAGAGTAAGGATTTTTAAAAATGAAGCTAGATTGTGATCTATTTTTAAAAATGAAGCCGTCTTTGTATGTTGATGGTTCATTTATTTTAAGGGAGGAGCTGTGATGATGCTGTGGTTTAGGAGGTGAATTTTGTCCTGGTTTCTTTAAGAGAGGGACTGAGCGAGAGGTGCTGAGCCGTCTGTGATAACGTAAACAGCTTGTGGGGCCTTGTTTTTTTAAAAAGTTGGAACAGTAGAAGCAGCCTGGCTGGGTGTGGCCAGCTCTCACAGACCAGGATTTCTAGTTTTTTTTTAGTTTGTTATGTTTAACTTTAAGCAGAAACTGCTGGAGTTTTAAAAAAAAAAAAAAAAAAAAAAAAAAAAAAAAAAAAAAAGCTAGAGGCTGGGCTTCCTCTTCCTATTGCTGATGTTGCATGTGAGAAAATCTGATTTCTGAATTTGCCTTTTTGCCAAGGGGTGTGTTTATGGGATGTTACTATATTGTAACAGTTAATTCGTTATGTGTACTGTATCTATTATTCTGTTAAGTTTTCCAACAGAGTTAAGTAATTCTAAGTTTGTCTGTCTTTGTTTGTACTTTAACACTACCTTGAAAATAAGAAAATGTTAGGGCCTAGGCTGCCTTCTTAAAAGATTTTGAGGCGGTCTGGTCTGGTCCATAACAACAATATGTGTGACTCAGTATGGTGTATGATGTCTGTAATGTGGGAACAGAATGAAACACACTGTATGGACACTGTCATGACAGAACATCACCAGCGATTCTGTACGGTGTCTGTGTTTCTGAGTCACTCAGAATTATGTTACAGAGTCAGTCTGGGGTTGTGTCAGTGAGACATTCCGGGACTGGATACAATATTTACCCCTGTTTCTATTTTATTCCTGCTCCATAGACTGTAAAGAGCAGAAACAGGCTGTACCTCAGGCTGTAGGGGAGAGTAAACTGTGTCTGCTCCAGACTGAGGAGAACGCCAACCAGCAGGAGGCTGCTCGAACCACATTGCTCCCTCAAACCGTAAACATGGCAAACTGGGCACCTCCAGCTGGGCACCAGAAAGAGGAGAACCACTGGTTAGTGTTTGTGTGTGTGTGTGTGTGTGTGTGTGTG